GATGTGCATTCTTTTCACTGCACATCTGTTTTGATGTGTTGGCTCATGCATACTGCAAAGGGAAGCGGATCACTCTGTCCGCCCAGCTCAGTTGTGGCTATTTTTTTTGCTCAGATTGGTTCAGATGGCTACAAACAAAACACCCACCATGGCCCAAGCAAGCTTTCCAAGCGCCTATGAATTCTTAATGGAAGTTGAAGGTGTGGCCCAACTAGTAATTTGAATGATTCCTGTCACCAGTCACCTGTCTGACTGTGACTCTGACAGACTATCTTTTTCTCATTCTGGACCTGGAGCCATGTCCAAGCTGGCACTCTTGGCTACACACGATGGTTCACCACTGGAACTGGCCGACACTGGGATCAAACACACACACAGAGATGTTATCATCATATCTATGTCTATGTCTGTACATTAATATAATTGAAGTGTGATTGTGATATGAAAACTGTTGGTAGTGAAGTGATGTGTGCTCAGTGCACTCAGTACACCTCATTTTTGAAACAAGGTTTGCGGTTTGCTGGAAATGCTGGAAACGTCAAAAACACTTCCGAGCAGTCTAAACATTCCACCAAGGATGATTGGGATGGCTTCGACTCTGCCGACGGAACTGGCTCTGACAGCGGTTGCAAGGACTGGATCAGACTGTACTTGGGTTACTTAGTTCAGTTCTGGTCTGTTTTTTGTTAATAATTGGGTCCCACAAGGCCAGACTTTGTAGACATCTGCAACATGAATGGGGCCTAAATGCCACTTGGGTTCTCACTTCCAAACAGGAGGGCGCAACATCATCGTGGGATGTTTTGTCTTCGCCTTGCAATGATGACGTGGAGAGAGACACGGATGATGAATCAAGTGAAGATCGGGCGCGGATGACTTTGACTATGCACAACTGTGCAGAGTTGTACGTCAAAGCTAGCCGGGTCTCTGGGGACTTCAAGCCTCCACATGGGAAGTATCTTGTTCTTCAAGTCTGACTCTGACTCCCACGTGTTTTTGAAGGTCAGTATAGAACTGTGTCAAGGTCTACGGTCTACTTTTGTTTTTGTTTGATGATGTAATGTATCAGTGTATCAGTGTTTCCTCTTGTGTTTGTCACTGAAAAAAGATGGATCTGAGATCTGTGATCGGGGCCACTCTGGATCTGTAGTCGAACAGTTCAAATTTTTAACAAAACGAAACCAGAGCACTGTGGCACTAGGCACTAGGCGTTATTGCAATGTGAATGCACGCAAGCTGCAGTATGTTAAGCTACTGTATGTTGCAACTTGTGATCTTTACATCCGGCAAAGGTATATTTTGGCTACCGCCTGCACTGGACTTGGCACCGCGAACTATTGCATGAGGCTTGGCCATACAATGGTAGCCACCACTGACTGATTCATAAGAACTCTGCTGACTTTTCTTGTTACAGTATATAATGTGCGGGGCATGCTGCATGAAGAACAATGTTGCAAAGACATTGATATTTATCCGTGATCCTTCAAACAAGTGCGATACTGTAGAGGTAATTGGAGTGCAGCGCAGTGCATCATGAATCATGAAGCCTTACCTTTTTATAGACTCAAACGAAGACAAAGTCACTAAGTAGAGTAGAGAGGCAATGTGGCTTAGACAGAACCTATGGGCAAGGCAGGTATCAAAATCATTCATTCCATTCTATTCTGTTCCGCAAAGTCGTAGGGATCACAGACTTGACTTACCTAAAGTTTCATGACCCAGGAAAGACTTGTGCAAAGCGACTGGCACAGAGTTTGAGGAGACCATAGCTTCAGAGGGAAACAGAGCAGTGCAGTCATTGCTGAAATCCCACTACGAGTGTGCCTCCTTGACAACTTGAGGAAATCAGTCACACTTGCTCAAAAGACGAAACGCGACATATACAGGAACTAGTAACTACAAATGCGATTCAGATTAGGTTCATTGAATCACATCACGTATTTATATATGCATATATTTGTGTGAAACACGTTGCCACAGTACGTTACAGCCCAGGATGGGCTAGATTCATGAGTGGTTCCATCAGAATTATATAGTAGTTGACAGGAAATCGGACCACGGGGCTAGCACTTGTTCTCTTTTGCCAAGGCCATCATGTTTGGAATGATTGCGCCGGAGGACATCAAGGAGGACATTGTGTGAAGCATGATTCATACTGCGCCCCAAGCGAGAGCCGCGACCAAGTGGAGGACTGTATCATCTATGGTTTGGATAGATGGCCTTCTTTCTTACTTGTATCAATCAGGTAAGGCGACATACCGACATACCTATGACTCTGACATGTGACATGTGACATATGACATACGCAAGAGTTGCATCGCTCGGTGCATTTACAGTCAGAATCACACTCTAGAGACTCCACCAAATGGGCCTGCATGATTGCATGATGACCGAAGTGGCAGGATAGAGTGAGAGAGAGGGAGCGAGGGAGGGAGTGAGACACACAAGTAATCCACACCATACGCCTAGCAACGCCCCAGCACAGGACTTTCTGGTTGCTGGTCCTCCGTGTCAACCCTACAGCAAATTGTCAGTGAAGCGAGCTTCCAAAACCTACCACCCGTTCCGCGACAACCCTGATACTCGTCCTGTGAAAGAGTTTGCACGTCATGTACGAGATCGCAAACCCAAGACCTGGATTTTGGAAGAGGTACATTGCTGGGCCGGGCAGTGTTTCTAAAACAAACAGGGAAGGGCGAAGGGCCTAGTAAAAACAAATGGTCTTCTGTCCGCAGTCAATGCACTTAAGACTAAGAGACCCCCCATCAGTCCAGGGCAAGGAGAGGAGAGAATGTTTGTTGCTTTGGTCTGGTGGAATTGCATTCTGGCCTGCAACGTGCTTTGTAGACCATCCATGCAACATAGTCCATCGACTCTTTGTTGGTAGCCCTAGGCCCTAGGTAGGTTCGGAGTCTATGGTCCTAGTCCTGGTCCAGCCCGTGTCATGTCACGTAATACCACATGTTCACATGTTCATGATGTGTTTACACAGCAGGCAGCAGGCAGTGGGATACTTTTTGTACAAACCTGACAAACTAGACTCTGGAATCATAGGAATGGACCATCGACATAAAGTCGACCTTCAGTTGACTGTAAGTTGTCTGACTCAAGGTGTAGGTGTGGCCGACATAGACTAAAAAGAGACTGTATGCCGTATGCCACGGGCCACGGAACATAAACAACAATACAAAGACAGTACAAAGACAGGAGTTACACTACAAGACTATCATCGGTCAACGCCCAACCTATAGACCCTGCAGGTGGCTGCTTTCAAGGAGCCGTGGCCACCGCAATGCAAAGGAAGATTCTTTGACACTTATCAGGCGCGCAGTGTTCTGGTTCTGGGCCTAGAGAGTCAAAGGGAGCTAGCGGAGATTGTAAGGCTTTGGCACATGCGGTCGTGTTGGTCACATCATCCCACACCATTGCCAGAGTTTGAGGTGTAGAACTTGTACAATCTGTAGAGTAGAGAGTAGAGTCTGTAGAGCTTGTATCTGGGTGGCACCTAGATTCATTTAGAGGCTGCAGGCTGCCAATAACTGATACGGTGTTTCCCAACATCAACATCCCATGAAAAATCGCCTGGATAGCCTGGATAGCCTTCAAATTATTTCACAATTTCTTTGCGCCCTCCCTATGCAGTGAAGCCATGAAGGATCTAGAGTCGAGGAAACCGCTTAACTTTTTGACACAGTGTCCCGGAGTTGTTTTCCTACTCACCACTCGGTGTCTCAGAGTTCATTTATTGATCAGTCAGAAGCAGGAAGAAAGAAATACATTGAACAGCGGAAAAGTAATTTGATTTTTGATTGATTAGGAAATTTCATTTTGTGGCTTCGAACGGTAGTTAGAATGACTAGCGCACGCATGGCCACAAAGGCTAGAGTTGTGTTAGCCAGAATCACAAGTCAAGTACCCTCTCATGCGCATGGAGCCTGCAGTATGCAGCTGCACATGAAAATGGCGACCCGGCCATTTGGTCGAGTCCAGTCCTGTTGATGCCTTTGTCCGACCTATGGTCCTCTGAGGGTGGAGATGCCGATCAGGGCCAGGAAGCTTTAGATCCCACCCATAGTTCTTGTTCAGATTTGCCACGGCTCCGAAACCAGTGCCGCACCTTCAAGGCACGTATGGCATCATTGCTTTCCCGCCAAAAGACAAAATTGGAGAGGGAACGAAAGAATGTAGCCATAGACCCAGACGTGGATGCCAAAACAGTGTTTCAGCAGAAGTTCCTGGCCTCTGCTGCTACACAGTGGGACCCCCTTGAAGACACAGGGGCTAGCGGGCTGCTTCACAATGTTGATGAAGTTGCTGGGCGGCGGCGTGCCGTGTACAGTTATTTCAAAGCATTGGGCAGGGCTCTTGTGAGGCTCTTCAGATGGGAGGAAGCCAGCCCAACACCAATCTCACATGTGATCAGCATCAACACCAATGATGACACCAATGTGAAGCTTGGTTCCGGAGCACGTGGCTCTACAGAGGTCCGGAGTGTTATGAACAACCTCCAAGAGCACATTGTGATATCAGACTCCTCAAGCAGCTCAACCACTGCCACTACATGGTTTGCAGTCCACCAGCCAATTGTGACGCTGGAGAGGCCTGATACACATTGCCTTTACTCAGAGTTCATGTCTTGGGTACTTGGATGGGCTGGCTTTGTTGGCTGGCGACTTCAAGTATGGGGAGTGCCAAGGGATCTTTTCAAGTGCGTGCGCCGACACACCTTCTGCTTCATCGGCGACGCAGTGAGGGTGAACGATTCCCTCTTCAAATATGTTTGTGAAGCTGTGACACAGAGTGATCGATGCCAAGGCCACGGCTCAGGCCCTGTCACTCAAAGCCATGCTTTTCAGATTCATTGTGGCATTCACCAAGTAGCCCTTGTGAGAAAAACGATTGCCCTCGGGTTCCCAGGATACTGGAGCAATTTGGTCCGTCTTGGACATTTGTACGAAAGCCATAGCTTTCGTCAGCGCTTCAAGGCAGCACTTTCTGCCATGGTGGCTTCGAACTTCCAATTTGTTGAAGTGTGCACGTTGCCGGAGGAAAGCATTGCTTGGAACTCCTTCAAGATTGCTGGTTTGCAGTTGCACCAGGATGTGGGGAAAGACACACTCCAAAAAAATGCATCCTTTCGTCTCAGAACATTACTTCGATTGTTGGAGAAAGACAATGGCAATCCACACAGCGACACAATATTTCATTTCTGCACCGGCTCCAGCTGCTGTGTGGCTGGCCGAGAAACAGCACTGAGCACAATTATCAATTGTTATTTGGACTTGTTCTCCCACATGCCGGTACCGTTGTTGTACCGATGGAAACACGCTCCGATTTGCAACAGCTTCATCCAGGATGGTCATTTCCTTCACAAGATCCTGCCCCGCACCCTAGCATCCATGCCACAGATGAAGTGTCATTTGGCTTGTCTTTTACAAGCTTTGCTCACTTCAGCGTGTGCAGTCTGTCTAGTCTATAGTCCGCAGTGTGGATAATGACTCGGAGTCGGGGTATGATGATATGATAATGGATTAATAATGATACAACAACGACATCGACTATAGTTACATTTGCAATGGCATTGGCGATGATTCGATGATGTTGGTTCATGTTGTGTTTGATGCAGATGCATATTGGATTCTGACATGATTCGATCATCTGGCCCACCTGCTCAGGTGAGTCAGACAAGGTGATGGAAGCAATCAACAAGTGGACACAAGCTGCTCAACGACCAGATGGGACAGATGATGCTGAGGAACTTGGGCGTTTGGTTGAAGACATGTTGCAACAAGAGTCATCATACGCTGAAAGGAATGCGAAAAGATTCAAGCTCGTGAACCAGGCTTTCCAGGAAAAGAACTTTGAGGTAATTGTTCAGATCGTCTCATTTTTGATGAGACCTTTGGACACTGCCATCAACAGGCTTCTGAAGCGAAGTTCGGACTTGAAAGGCATTCGCTTTCAGGGCATTCAGGGCTCAGAAGTTGAATCAATCCCAGACATGAAGGCGAGATCTATGCAGTTCTTCATCTCATATGTCACTGGAAGATTTGGACACAACATCATTCTTGATTTCGTCCAGCAACTCAAATCTGATGAGTTGACAACACATTGCCGTGCTTGCTCAGACCCTGGCATGATCCAAACATGCTTTCAACTGGTTGTGCATGCCATGTCAGATGTGTGGTGGCGCTGTTGCTTGCCAGCTGAACATTTTCCAAACCAATTGTTCGCTCTGGCAACCTGTGACCAGCAATCATTTGAGCAAAGCTGGAAGAAGTTTCGAGAGACCTACAAGAAGTGTCCTTTGTGTGTGGATCCTGGCTTGAGTGGCCCGCTTTTGAAGTCTGTAGATTTGGATGCACTATCAAATCAAGAACGGGCACAAACCATTTGTGGGCTTCTTGACTCAACAGGACATGCACTTCACCCCATCTCAAATCGTCTCACTCACTCACTCACTCATCTCATGTTTTGACTTTCATTTTGTTTTTCGATCATTCATTCATCGGCAGTTTCATTGGCATACGGCATACGATACAACGTGCGACATAATGTCAGTAGTCATATATGAGTCATAAATATATGAAATGATCATATGATATGATAGATGGAGCTGAGATGGATCATAAATCATTCCATGATCGTGCATCATATGATAGAATTAATGATAGAATTTGATAGAATCACACACATGATAAACAAGTACAGTACAGTACACTTTGCATCAACCGCTGTGGTGTTCTGAGTTCATCCTTTTCTCTCAACCTCTCCCTGAACAATTTTGACCTCATGGTCTTTTGATTTGGTTGTTCTAAACAACACATTTGGATTTGTGGATGATGTGCTTGGTAGACAGGGCAAAGCCTCACTATACCGTAGATGGTTTCAATCTGGTTGCCTATGTTCTTGAAATGTTTGGTTCGCTTTCTTGAGGCTTCAGACGATGTTATGTGAGATTGCCACCTTCTGCCCTTTGGCGACAAATTTGGTGGAGAATTCACATGCCCAGCATCAAAATGCTTTGTACGTATGGCGTGGGAAATCCAAAGCTCCTGCAGCAGCGGCAGAGTGTTCAGTGCTATCCTCTTTGGTCAGAGAACATGCTTACCTCAAGGGCTTGGTCATTGGGGAAACGATGCCACGCAGAATGGGGGTGTCAAGCATGAAAAAGCAGCTGGGCAGGAAAGGAGGCATTCAGCCTAAAGTCATCAGTGCCAAGACTCGGGTCATCCAGGCAACAACGAGGAAAACAAGACGCATCAGTGCTTGGAATGTGTTTTGCCGATCCCAAATGCAGCATCTCAGCAAGAACCACGGCAGACCTCTGACAAAGAATGAGTACAAGAATGCGCAGAAGCAAATTGCTATGCTGTGGAGAACTCTGTCTGAGGAGGAGCAAACACCTTACAAGGTAGATGCAAACTTTGAACAGTCTTGCCGAGACGAACTAGGCACACGAGCCTTGAAGACTGGACGGGGACGTGCTGCTAACTCACCTGACTCACCTTCACTGCCCCAAAGAGATTGTGTAGCAGCCGGCAATCAGCCCACTCACCTCTTGGAGAAAGTGGCTGGCGCCTTGGACTTTTTTGGGTATCTTTGCTCCTTTGTATAGCGCTCCTGCTACCACTATCACTACTATTACTACTACGATGACTACGACAACGACTACTACTGCTACTACTCCATGATTATGATTCTATTATATATATATATCATATATCATATATATATATGAACAATGTGGGTTCAATAAGTGTATTATTCTTTGTGCTCGTGTGACTCTTGTAGCAAACAACTGCAACAAACAGTACTACACAATACAACGTACACAGTACACACACAGGTCAACAAAATAAATATGATCCAGGGTCCATATGTCCATTTGTCAGTCATGGTTCCAAATGATTTGAGTGCTGGCATGTGTTAGTGGCATACGGCATATCATGTCTGGCAAGCCAGGTGAGAGATATCTCAAAAAGATCTCTGCCAAACGGCTTTGTGTGAACAGCGCGGACAAGAATGCCCATAGTAACTGGTCTACCTATGGCTTGGGTTTGCAAGACTCTGACGGTGCAGTGAAGGCAGACTTTGTAGACTTAACTGCCACCGCAGGTCAAGTGGATTTTGCTGTGGACTACTCGTTGCACAGAGTTGCTAACAAGGAGCTGCTCCAAGAACTTCCTACACCACCCGATGCTGAAATCACTGTCCAAACTCGCACATGCTTGGAATTGTTTGGCTGTTGCAGGGAACATGATCACCTCACATTGGTTCAAAGCCTTGCCAAGAGCTTTGCAAACATGGTAACCACCAAGAAACTGCCAGCTGGGACATTGGTTCGGCTCACGCCAAACTTGGAACATGGTCATGCAAGCAAGCCAGTGCCAGAGCTATATTTTGTCCTTGGATTGTTGTGCAAGAAACCATTGCAGCATGTTTTGGCAAAAACGTGGATGTGTGTGACAACTGGCCTCCCTCCGGGCAGCACTGTGTTTTCAATGGTGGATGCAAACTCTGGGGTTCCTGTTTTCTCAACTTCGCACCAAGTGTTCTTTGACCTGGCGGAATGCTACCATGGGCATCTGAAGAGCATAACAGTCTCCATCTTTCAGAGCAGCTTCGATTGTTCAGTTTGGGGGCTTCACCAGCTTCGAATTGTGACAGAAGGTTCACCCTTGGACTTCGTGATCAATGTGAAAGCTGGAGCAGAGAGTTCCAGCAAACAAAAGAAACAGAGTTACATCGGCATGCCCTTTGGTTTGACACTGGAACGCAGGAAAAGGAAAGCGAGGAAAAGCATTGCCAAGAGGAAGAGAAAACAGCCGGCTGGGAGGCCAATGTCTGCGCAACCCGCAAATGCCGTCCTTTCTTCTTCTTCTGGTTCTGATGCCCGCTCTGTTTCAGTTTGCTTGGATTCGGAATCAGATTGTGAAGGCTTTGAGGGCTTTGCTGAAACCAGTCCCACTGGCTGTGACTCTGGAGGTTGTGCTGAATCCAATGATGTGTATGACGATGACAATGATGCCGATGAGCATCCAAATGTTGATGCTGATGCTAGTGCTGAGCCAGTCCCGCCAACCACAGCAGCTGAAATTGAGACACAGGCAGTGCAAGATGCATTTGATGATTTCAAAGCAGATTGCAATCGAAGAGCGGAATTGGCGGAGGTGGCTTCAGCAAGTATGGGAACCTTCTTCCACTCCTCAGTTGGCTTCAACGGAGCAGCCTTTGCCCAATCGAGCCGGAGTGTTTGTTACCATTGTGAGCAACGCATTGAGAAAGGCAGCATTCGTCTCATGTACTGCTGGAGCACCAAGAAGCCATCAAGGTGGATGCATGATTCTTGTGTGGCTGCATTTGTGCAAGCAGCAGATAGTGCTGCTCGAAAGTCACAAGCAATCAATGCCTTGCGGCATATCATGGACACCTCAAACGAAGAGCTCATCAAAAATGCTGCAGATGGTATTTTGGACAAATTGGCTCTTGTGGATTGCTAGCTCAGGTCGCCCAACCAACATGAGTGCCATGCAGCTTTCGAAAAGAGTTTAGATGCGGCAGATCAGAATGTTCCTTTCCCATTGGACCCATTTGAGTCATATGATTTACTGTATATATTGATTGTATAAATATATATATAACTATATATAAGAGTCTGAGTGAGCCACATGACTGGCAACGATGGCTTTGGAACCGTGGACATGTCTCTCAAGACTCATGCCTCATGTGACCCACGTGTTTGTGTTTCAGGTGTCAGAATCAGAGTCAAACATATATTTCATCATATTTTATCATATCATTTCATCATATTCCAGATTCAGATCGCGTTCTGCCAGGTTGCATGTTGCAAATTAGAATTATAGGAATCGTCTAGTGGTAACCCCAAACTATAACTCCATATCCTTGGAAGCCTTTATGCGTGCTGCCAGACACCCTATGACTATTTCCTCAATGGTGAAGATGATGGAGAAGTGTTTGGGATCAACCGGATTGAGACCAAGTACCACATTGGCCATGTCTTGCTCCGGTGTCTGGGCTAGGGTGGGACTGCTGTGCAACTGTGCAACTGTGTAGCTGAAAACAACTAGTTCTGGTAAAGATTGCCCTTCAGAAGCAATGCGTTGTTCGCGTTTCACTGTTCTGCTGCTCTGCTATTCATGTTCTGTTTCATCATTCATGTTTTAGTGGTCCCTGGATCCAATGCAACCCTATTGCTAGTGTGACTCTGTGACTTAAGCCAAGTGGAATCAGAACACTACTTTGCAGAACACAGCCAGCACAGCATACAACAACTAGCCACTGAGGAGCAGAGACTTTGGATCGCCGCAGTGCCGACTTCGTCTGTATGTGCTTGGAGTTCGTCATGATTTCATCAGCCCTTCAGATTTTACATCAATGATAGGATACTTGCGAAGTTTCCTGCCCACTGTCCACAAAACTGCTTCTATCAATGATGTGGTGCGCTGGGTCGCTAGTCTTGGAGTTCCAGAAGTGGCTTGTGGTGGCCGCAATTCTTCAAAGGAGATGTTTTCCCTCACTCTTGGAAGGCATCAATGTTGGTGTGAAATGTAGGTAGTGTACTGTAAAGTTTGCAAGTTACTGCACTAGACTAGACTAGACTAGACTATACACACTGACGGTCACTGACTACAATTCCGCAGTGACAGACCTTTATATCAAAGACTTAGGGCAACTCTATGATCAGTATACAGTATGGCTTTGGGTTGGTCTGCCAGGGAACGGAGAATGTGCACACACATGCTGCACACAAATGCAAATCATGGACACTGTCTAGGGGTATAGATGTCACATGCTTCTTCTCATGGGTGTCATCTCAAGAACCAAACACAAGGTGTCATCGTCATCGTAGAAATAGACTTATCAGCCCTCACCACTCATGATCCACAATTGTCGTCATCATCATCATCAATGCAAATCATTCTGACATTCCAGATTTTGTCACCATCAAGTCCTCATACCATGGAATCATGAGTCATGAGTCATGAGCCACAACCACTCCGTATTCACACACAACATACATATAGATCTTTCATTCATGAGGTGAATGCAAATGTGTTGAATAGCCCAGTCTAAGTCTTAAGTCATGTGCGCTGTGTGACGTGAGTAAAATCACTAATCGCAAGTCACCAATCATCATTGCCATCACCACCAGGTCTCTCTTACGACTCTGATACAGTGTGATGACACCCTGAGTGTGAGAGTGAGATGTGTTATGAGTTATGAGTTGTGAAATCCTTGTGGGGGTTGAAGGTTCTATCATCACTATCTCTTTGCAAGTGTGATTTAGGAATTGCCAAATCACGGTACACAGTAGGCAGTAGGTAGTGCATGACTGTGTGACTGGACTGTATTGGTTTCATGGGTCCTCTGGCCTTGATTTTGGTGAGGCTTTCAAGTATAGTTTCTGAGAATTTCAATACAGTTTCTGAGAACAAAACAAGTGGTTTTCATGGTCCAGGAACGGTTTCTACAGTCAGGAACGGTTTCTGCGCTCTATGGTGTGCCTTTCTCATTAGGGTCAGGTTGTTAGGGTCAGCTTCTCCCAGGACAGCTTTTCATGTTCCAAATGCTGCCAGTGCCTTCAAATGGCCAGGAGAGGAAGCTCTCTGAAAAGAGCTGGACAGAGATTTGGGCTGCCCAGCGCAAATATGGCCTGTCTCACGATGCCGCACACCCCTACACCCAGGACATTGACGATGAGGTTTTGGCCCCACTGACCCACAGGGAGCGAGCTGTGTTGGACATCACTTGGAAATATATTCAAAAGGAACCTTGACCTGTGTTAAGAGGTTTGCAATACTGGCACAGGAGTCTGAGGACACAGTCAAGTTGAATTGGTTGTGTTCTTATTTGCTTTTGATACTTTGTCACCGCTTGACCCTCACTCCTTACTTCTTGTTTGCTTGTGATCAGTGTGCACAGTCTATCAAGTGGATTGGGCTGAGGGGTTGGGTACGTTGGGTTGAGTCAAAGAAGCATACACAAACCAGAGTTTTGATGTGGCCTTGCAAATCATGTAACCTTGAGAAACCCAAAGCCATTGAACCAAGACATGTTGGCGGAATTAATATTGGTGTGTACTGTGTACGGTGTATTTGTTTGCTAGTCATGTCTAACTTATGCTGTTGTGATTCCACATATTAAGCATGAAATCATAAAAGCTGGTGGCTACAACACTGTATCGTTCACTATAACTAACTCATATATATATAAGTAAACTTCTGTAGTTATATGATAATGATAATACAAATGATTTTCCGCCTGTGATTTCACCAATGGCTCTGAACCCCAAGAGTCATGACCGTTGAAACCGTTTCTGCCTTTAGAGGCCTACAGAGGCAGAAACCGTCCCAACCGTTGTTAGCTCAAAGTATGGCAAAACCACTTATAGTCAGAAACTGTTTGAAACCGTTTGAAACCGTTCCTGGAAACCAACCAAATATAGAATAGGTCAAAACCGTTTCAACCGTTTCCAGCTAAATTGAGATCTTTAGTATAAAACCGTCGGGACCGTTTCCGCCTACTTGCAAAATGATGGATTTTCCGGACCTAAAAATCATATCATATGATATCATGATGTGATATCATTGATATATTATATTATATCATTAAGTCATAAGTTACATCTAATACAGCATAGCATAGCAGAGCTTAACACCACTCTCACTCTCTTTTAAGGACACGATCAATGCTTCAATGATTCATGATAAATGTTATAGGCAGCAACAAAAACAAAACAAAGCAATTACTCAGTGACTCAGCATGGTATAACTTGCCACCAACTTGTAACATCTATCATCGATCATCTAACAACATTAAACTTGCAACTTGCAGCACTGTGCAACTTGCAACTCGTAATTGAATATGGTGTGAATGATATATGAATAGAATATCTCTCATAAGTTAAGTCATACTTAGACCACGTCGGACTGACCGTCATAGTAAACTGAACAACTCTCTGACTTCTAACCACATTTAATCTAATCATCTTCGTACCCGACGCCGTTTACTGTACACGCTGCTGGATATAGGCGACTGAAAGAAAAACACATACATCATTGATCATACGTACGTACATCATATACAGTATACATCATACAACTGTTCAAATGACGTGACATAACAATACCAAACCAAACAAAACAAAACAGGCAAGTTCGGATCATGGCAGAGCTAGAAAAAGTCAAAACCATAGAACAACAACAACCATAAATCTGCGTACTTCCAAGAGCGAAGGCATTTTACCCGTGACCTTCGTGAATTGTGTGCATTGTGCTCAGGACCTCTTGGGTAAGCCAAGGAAGCAGGACTACATCGTTGACCTCTCACGTACTTTGCCCTGAAAGTGATATTGTGTGCGATTTGAATCACCTCAATTGTCAATGTCATTTCTGTCAGAGTCAAATTAAGCCTCAGCACTTCATACATAGTCACAGAGTTTCTGAGACATTGCCATGGCATCAAGACCCATTTCAAATCATTGTGAGCCAGCCAACTTTATGACCAAACCAACCCTGTGGCTTCTGAAGGCAGTCTTGGAAGGAGAGCCATCAGTCGTCTTGGGAAACTTGCTACCATCACGACGCAGAACAAATTCTGGAGCTTTCGACATGACCGACTGTTGAGAGCGGAGGAGATCCAGTTGGCATTGACTTGTTTCAGTCTTTGCAATTCCATTCTCCAACATAAGTGGTCCACAGTCCACATGTGGTTGACTCTTCTGTGATCAGTGATCAGTGATGTGCTTTTAAGAGGAAGGTTGGCAGGTTGCAGCAGGTTTTTGGTAATTCTGAATTCTTCACGTAAGACTGAATTCGGATGAGTTCAAGTGGGGCAAATTGTGATGCAAATCTAGATTGAGTTTCATGACATTGCGAGGCCCTTATCTTGTGTTTTTTGTCCGGTGAAGGTCCATGACCTTTGCCCTTGGAAGGAGCTTATGGCAATCCAGGGACTAGATCCAACACGCTTCACAATGCACGAGCGGCCTTATTCATTTTGGAACAAAGGTGCAGGCGGCAGGGTCGTTCTTCTTTTTTTGATGCTGATCACTGATGCTGCAAATGCTGATGATGATTTGTAACTAGGAATTAGGACTCAGGAATTCGTAGGGACCCTGTTCTGACTGACAGCAGTCAAATACAATATTTTCATATGAAATTATACAATACACTACACGACATAATATACTTTAAACTTTAAACTAAATCAAAATGTTACTTGCTCACACGGAATTGTAGACTTGGATTGTGGATGGTGTGATCCATGCAATCATCATGCCATGCCCGAGTTAAGCGGCTAGTTATCAAATGTGAGGCAGAGTTCCCAGGAATTGGAACTCAATGAGATCATGTTCACAATACACAGCGGTATACAGCTCAGTACGGTACGGTACATGCGGCACGTTACATCGTGTGCTGTGGTGTACTGTATACTGTTGAATTGTTTTCATTCTGTCCATGCCATGCCATTGCAAGGCAATGCTATGACTTCAAGCGTGCTGTCCGCCTGCCTGTACTCACTGATGTGCTTTGCATTGCCCACTACAGCAGGAAAGCCACTGCTCCAGGGTCCATCCCCAGTGAATTTGATTCCGGCAGGTAGCAGTGGCCCTTGTCTCCTGCCCAAAACAGAGAAAGACTGTAGTGAGGACAGAACTTTGATATTGGGATCGGATGGAGTTGCTCGACCACGTGAAAGTGAGTCTGAGTGGGAAACCCATTCGGAGCATTCGGAAGAGATGGTGGCAGCTGGCAGTTCTTGATTCTAGTAAGTGCGACTCTCCCCTCCCTTAAAGATTCCAATTCCCTTGTTTCACATGTGATATCATAACTATACTAAACTATAATATATCGAGTAGCTTTAGCTGCCAAATTTTGCTAGAAAACTGCCGGGCGATGACTGCCCAACTTTGAAACCGTGAGTTGGTGCGCTGCGCACAGCTGACCGACCGACCCAAGAACTTTCGCTTCGACCAAAATACCAATTTGCCGGCGTGCATGTTTCTGCCAAAAATACTGGAACATGAACTTGTGCTAGCTGAACTGTGTCGAGGGTCGGCCATAGTTGACAATGTGTGGAACCTTACAGAGCATGCAGCATGGACTGGGCTGGACTTGATGAGTAGCAGAAGTAGAAGTGCATTGTAGGTAAGGTGGGGCCAACAGACTGCACACTTTGCTCAAGGTGCTGCTGAAGCGGCCACTTTTTGGCTTGTTTCGCCACTGGGTAGTACTTGCTTGTGCCAAAAAAGGATGGCAGGGGCAGAAGAACCACCCCAGGTATGCCTAGCGTGCAAGCAAAAGGAAGGTGATGTGGACAAGGACATGGGCACTCTGAACAGTGTCATGCAGCAATGCCATGCAGTGATTCCCGACTTACCTACCGACCTAACTGCTTCCCATGTGTGTGAAGGTTAAGTTGTGTGCTTCTTTTGCAGACTGTAGAGCACCCGCCACTACCAAGAATCAAGTCTGTGATATCAAGTCGTTGGAATACAGCGGCCCTACTCCAATACACGTACGATTATACTGTAACAATACAGGTACTGTGGGTTTGTCATAGTATATAGTATTGGCTTGGCATAGCAAATTGTAATCAGTAATGGCAATGTTCTGATGGCAAAGCAGGACTGCCCTGAGGGCTGCAGTGAGACTATCACCATGCTCAAGCAGGTTAACAGTGCTTTGTGCAGATCGTGCTACTACCTTAAGCGGGGTTCTTTGAACAACATGAAGATGAGTGAGCTCATCACCAACTTGAGCGAAAACGAGAGTTTCCGGGACAAGCAGCGGGCTTAGTTGCCAAAGCAGTGGAATCAGTTAACCCGCCAAATGATGTTGGTAGAAGTTGCTTCTGGGTTTGTAGTAACATGTGAGCCCATGGCTCATAACACACCGTTAACACAGACACAAACATCCTTCATAGACATCCATGGTCCATAGTTCAACACCAAGAATAAGTAGGTAGACGGCAGACGGTAGACAAAAGCAAAGGTAGGCAGAAGTTGCAGCTGCAGAAGAATTCACATGGTGTTCAGGGCAAGACTTTGAGTTGGTTCAAAGGTTCTCATAACCTGATTGCTTAGGTACGATCGAATGCGAAAGGCCCAGGTTCAGTTCACCTGTGAAAATCCAAGCCGACGTTACCGCCATGAAAAGCCAGACCTCAAGACGTTGCTCGAAAAGAAGGATGAAAGCTACGTGGACGTGTCTTCTGTTTCTTGGCATGTGGCACGCCCCGAAAAAGTTTTTGACCCGACCCTAGATGCAAAGCTACTCCTCAGTCAATACCAATCTAGATCTAGGCCTAGGTCTAGTATTATATACTATACTATACTTTTCTTTCCACGTCTCCGGCATCCTGGGCTTAGCGCTCAACAACGACTACTTACTTCCCCACACAACCGTTCTGCAGTGCTGCATTAAGTTGTGTTGTGTTACTAGTACCTCATATATTAGTTGAAATTACATTACATATATTATATGTATGTATGTTATGTAATCTAGGCCTAGGCCCAGGCCGCATTGGCTCAGGTAATGACCTGGATGTCCTTGAAGAAATTCTGTGACACAAATTACCCGGACACCAAGTTCAAAAACGACAGCCAGCGCAAAGCCTTCGTTGTGAAAAAAGGCTTGACCATCCAGAAGGATGAAGATGGACGAGATGGTATTGCTGTGGCTGCTGAAGGTGACACTGACACCAAGCAAATCCGTGTTGGCAAGAGGCTGTCAGCAAGCAAGATCAAACGCCTCCAGTACGAAGAGGATGCTGACAAGAATGAGATCCAAGCACAGAATCTGAAGAACGCCTCCAATCTCAAGGTGAATGTCAACACCAAGGATTCCAAATGTTTTTTCTCCGGGGTCTTGCGATAAACTGTCGAGTCTTGCAATCTCAGTTTATATACTTATTCTTATTGACAATTCTCGTCTTGTGTTAGTTGTTAGTACTGTATTTCTGTTAGGAGTTAGGTATGCTGCAATGTAATGTAGGTAAGGTAACTGTATGTTTGATTCTTGTGTTCGTATGCAATCCCTTGACACAGCATTGATACACCATACTCTACTCAGTCAGCCATTCCACATACACATGTCACATACACATGACTCGTGACCCGACTGACATGACTGCAACTTTATAACTGCAAATAAGACTATGACTCTGACCACAACTATAACTACACTACAACTACAACTACAACTATTACTTAACTAATTTAACTACTGAAACGGGACCGGACACAAACGTTGCGCCGTGCACAAACGTTTCAGCTCAAAAGCCAGTTGAGAGGTTGATGCAAAACCACAGATCGGTTTGGTCGGCTTTTTGGGGCTAGGCTAGCCATAATCTGTAGTCTACTACTTGGTGACCTGGTGTTTTTTTTGCATTACAGTAAGCCGTATCAAACACTGCGAAGGAGGATGTTGCTGCTGCGGTGGGTGAGGATGGCGCCAGTGAACATGAGGAAGACCCTGATCATGCCCCTGAGGATGACAGCGACGCCTCCAGTCATTTTGGCTTGGACACAGCCCCGGACAAACCGGCTGCGAAATCGAAGCCAAAGGCAGTTCCCAAGACGAAGGTTAGTACAAAGCCGCAACCTCAGAACTTGGACAAGTCCCATGAGAAGCACCGGGCAGCTCTGGCAGAGGCCACCAAATTGTTGGGCACCTTGGCCCCTGTGAATGCATCTTCCATTTGGAAAGGGGCCTTCAAGGACACAGACATCATGGCACGATTGAAAAAAGTGTCGCAGTCTGCTTCGGCATTGTCCCAACAGGCCTCTGCGATGGAGGCAGGCGAGTTGAAGAACGAATGTGAGGGTCTTGCTGGCCGCATGGAGAAGAAGGTGGATGAATTGTCTACTCTTCTTGACACCCTCTCCCAATTCCGTTCTGCAGCTGCCAAGCAGAAGGTTCTCAATCTAGTGCAGGATGATCAGTTGTGTGGCAAGCTGGCGAATGCCTGCCGTCTGATGGATGGTGAGTGCTTGTCAACGTTTTTGCTCCATGTGGGGCGCAAGCTGCTAGAGGCCGGATACCGTACTGTAACTCGTACCGTAGCGGAAATACCGTATATACCGTATATTATATACCGTATGTAAGTATGCATTTTGTTTTTGCTTGGACATGTGGGCCACATGAGTGACATTCAAGATCCAAATCAAATTCTAAGCCTCTGGATGAGAGTTGTACTGTGCACTGCGTACCACAGACTGCAATTCTAGATTCTATGCCACTGTTAAACTGCTTTACAACCACCAAACTTCCCCTGTGCCGCCCTTGGCCCAACAGGACAGCAGTGATGGCCTCTTCAAGTTCCTTTCTGTGAACCCAGACTTTTTCCAGGGCACCATCTTCAACCTTGGAATGCTCTATGGTTGCGATGGGAACTCCGTCGTTGACAAGCTTCTTCTCAGAACTCAGTGCACCCTGGTTCATGAGTTCATCGATGGTTTCAAGGCAATGCCTTTGCCCAAGATGCAGAAGAAGGCCCAGCACTACTTGACGATTCTGAATTGGGCGAACAATGTCGATATATTGAGGCATGGTGGGACACCTAAATTGTGGTTGCTATATTGCCATTGCTGTTGATAATTGTTGACCAGACTCGCGCCCATTTGTCCAGGTCCGTCGTAGCGGGAATCTAGAAAATAATTGAGCTATTTCTGTGTTTCGAACTTCTGTCTTCTATTATTTAATGTGAAAATGAATTCGGTTTTGTCGCCCTTATAGTGCGTCATACAGTGCAGTCATACAGTCTCTGTCTATAGTTTAGGGTCCGGCTCATAAGATCCGGTATCAATCATTTTGCACAGCTTCAACCCTGAGGGCTGGAATCGCTGATGGTGACCTATCTTTGGAATCCAAGACGAAGAAGGATGACAACGACACTGGCTTTTCAATGCAGGCCCTCGTTGACCTGCAGAATCTCATTTGCTGCTTTCAGATCTTGCACGCGGAAAACCAGGGCGTCAAACTTACCAACAGTCAGCGGATCCACTTCAAAGAGGCGACGGCGTGCTTTGACTACAGTTCGCGGGTCTCTTTGGCGCTGAGACAAAGCCAGGCTTGGAAGTACTTTGGCCGCAAAGTCTGTAGAGTTGCAAGTTTATGACTGTATGAATGAATGATGTGTATTGTTATACATATATATTACTATTTGGTTTTATTATATATTTTTTTTTTGGAGAATGGACGTAGATTGTAGACTCCATCAAACTGCAGACTGCCAGGGTCTATTGATCCAAACCATTTGACAAAGTTACAATATGCACAGCCACAAATCATAATCATAGTGCCCCCCTAACTAACAAAGTACTGAGGCAACCAATCGTCGCATTGATTTATTTTTGTTTAGTACCGCCGCCCCTCTTCCACTTCCCTTTTGGCTCCTGAATCCTGACTCCTGTATGTCCCACCCCATTTTGTAGCTTTGCCATCCATCCATCCATCCATCTTAGGACCGTTTGGAACAAGGTCATGGCGGAAGGCAAGAGTGCTCTTGACAAAGGTCGCATGCTTCAGAGTGCCAAGGATCAGGTTTCTTCCGTGAAACAGCTACTCGATCTCATGAAAAAGTACGCCTCTGAGGGAAAGGATTGGTCTGAGATTACAGTTCCTGATGATCTTGCAAAGGCATCTGAGCCTAGTCTTCTGGCCTTCGACACTGAGATTGAAGACATGGCCTCGTCAATGGAGACGACAGACCCCAGCCACCAAGAGGCCGCTCAAGTGAGCTCAGACCTCAAAGCCACCTTTGAGGCTCTACGCACAATCCTTGGCCCAGCTATGCAAAGTGATCTTGGCAAGATTGACAAGTGGCTTGACAGTCTTTGGGCGGAGGAAGATGCCGAAGCCGGTGCAAACAAGCGGCTGGTTCCAGCAAACGTCCAGGACCCCGAATGGAAGAAACAGTTGATCCTTCACGGTCCCTTGTCTGTCCTGTGTCAACTTGTTTTGGTTTGTTGGTGGGTTGCCGATTGTGTGCTTTAAATTAAAAAGCTTTCCATGCCGGTGCCCATGCACATCAGTCTATGCCGGGAGTGAATATGCCATGCTTCCATACCATTTGATAGCCAGCCTTATGGCGCACAATCACACCGATCAATCAATCACTACTGCCAGGGGCCAGGATTGTCTTAATTAATGCTGGCACAGTATGCGAGTATATGATATGGTGTCGGCATTGGTAAGTAGTAAGCAGCAGCAAGTATAAGTTTTCTATGTTTCAGAGTTTTGTAGTACAGTAGTATGTGGTGCTGTGAGCATGATGTCCCTTCATTGATTGCCATTGCTAGGAGTTAGGAGCAATGAACATTCTTCATACTACTGGTGACAATCTTGGATCATTGGTTTTTGGCGGTAGGTCAATTGAACCATTGGATCATTGGTTGGACTGAAATGCCAAGGTCAATTGACCAAGCTCTTTGGTGGACCAATTGCAGAGTCCGCGTCAGCCTTGGCAAACTTTTGCTTGTCCATTGTGGATTTCCAAGCAGAGGGCACTTCCTGCAAAGACAAGGAAGACTACGAGCTTCATTTGCTGAAGCTTGGCTGCGCATTGCATGCAAAGTTGGCCCCGCTACCAGAAGTAGTCGGATATCACAAGGTGTACTTCCAGTTCATCAGCTCTGTTTGTGGCTCCTGCAAAGCTGCGTGTCAACGGCTGTCTGAGTGCTTGAATGCCCAGGGCATCAAGTGGATCCATTCTCAGATGCAGTCTGGCATGGATATGAAAGCCGCTGCGAGCAAAATGCAGGAAACCGTTGATGTGGGCTTGACTCCCTATTTGAGTAGTTGCCTGGCAACTTGCAGCGTCAACATCCAGGACTTGGAAACGGTCGATCTGGGCAACAGGCTTGGGGATTTGGCCACTGTCATGCCCCAGTACATCCTGATCAACTCTCTCAACAGAGAGCTCATGAAAGAAATCTCTGAAGCAAGGCTCACCGCTTGTGATGCTTTTGTCACCAAAGTGGAACGCAACTTGGAAGAACATATTGACTCGGTCAAGATCACACTGACTCAGCTCACCAAGCTTGAAGACAAGTACAAGTCTCCGGGCAGCAAAACAAATGGTTTCTGGTTTACTGGTACTTGCTTACTGGTTAATTCAGAATTCACTTTTAGCGGCCAGGAGACTCAGAGGGTTGAAATGAAAAGAGTAAGTAAGACTGACTGACTATAAGACTGGACTTGAATGGGCTCTTGGATCTGGTCACCCAGGTTGGTCAAAGAAATTGTTTGGCTAGGTTGGACCGGTTCTTGTTCCTACAGCTTTTCTCACCTCTCACAAGGTGTGTCAAGACGTGCGCCAAGAGTTGGTCTATGACGGATGTCTTGTGGATCTTCCAAGACAGTGCTGACGTCGATGCTGACCTGAAGATGATTCTCGAACACCGATCCGAAGTGGCCGAGATTGCAAAGGCTTCCGAGAAGATTGTGGGAATCTTCTGCAAGTCTGAGGCGTTCGAGAAGCTGGCCCACGACCTGAAAACCCTTGTGTGCAAAGCGAAGGCCCGTGTCCTTTTTTCTCCTGTGAAACTCATATGGCCGAACGTTGGAGGGTGGACGAAGGAGCAGGTTGAGTTCTATTCTATTCTGTTGTGCGTTCAGTGTTCAAACAGACCTTTGTTGACTGTTCCTGCTTTCATTGCTCAGATTCAGATGTCCGAACATTGTACAGAGTCAAGAGCATCATTGATCACACTGTATCACACTGCACAGTTCAACTCACATCAAAGCATTTCAATACATACCCTTCCTTGTGCAATGACATGTTGCACAGCATTTCAAAGACTTGAGGCTCCAAAGAAACACTGTGTTGGAATGAAAGCAGACCTGCGACATGCAAATCATGTTCAGGAAGTCCGGGAGAGTGTGACGCAGACGGTTGCGGTGATGGTCGTAGCGGATGTCTTTTTGAATCCCAAATATACAGGAAAAGCGAAGGAGGTCATGCCCCAGACGCTCCAGTACATTGGGACCAAGCTTGGCATGACTAAGCATGACTTGGCTGCCCTCTCGCCCAAGCTGGTCAGCCAGATCGATGAAGCCTTGGGTGGAAGTGAGACCAGCAGTCGGAGGAAGACAAGGACATCCCAGAAATCCACTGATGGTGGTGCTGACGCTCCTACTGTTGATCCGCCTGATCACGCACCAGAAACTGGACCTGATGCTGAGGAGATGGTTGCCAAGAAGCGAAAGAAGACAGTGGCACCTGCGCCTAAGGCATCTTCACAGCGGTCCAGAAAGCGCAAGGACGTAGACTAGGCAAAGAACCCGTGCAAAGAAGTGAGAGTGTGTTCAGCGGGGTGGTTCAAAGAACCTGTGGAAGGTGGAATGGCGCTTGTGACACGTTTTGTTCTGTGTGCTGTATGTTACTTGGTGAGAGATATGAGAGCTCAACCTTGTAGAGTAGAGTCAGTAGAGTAGCTAAAACTGATAGGAGAAAAAACTCAGCTACCGATGTTGTTTGCCTAGACCTTCCACCAATTTTGTTGGATAGTTTTGGCTTAGCCTTTGGGCATTATCACGGTATTGAATGCTATTTGAGCAACGTGGGAATCAGGCCACGGACTTAGAACCTCAGACTCAGACCAGACTCATTTGCCAAAAGAAAAAATCACTGTGGCGCTGCGACTTGCAATGGGTTGATTCAAGTTTACATGCAACATACAATGCTTTGTGACAGCTACATTGCTGAAAGAGGGGAGTTTCATGGGCCAAGGTACGGACAATAGATAGGAAGATTCGGAATAGGAGGTTCTGGGATGTCACCCAACCCGCCCAAACAATTAAAAAGTAAGTAGAGTAGAGGGCTTTGTGAACTTCAGAGTGACAGTTTCCCACTATATAATTCCCAAAACTTTGTGTAGTAATACGTGTCAACTTTTCTTGCATGGTCCATGGTTTCCAAGATTTCCTGTCTGTATAGTTTCCAAGATTACCTGTATAGTTCCCAAGAATTCCTGTATAGTTTCCAATATGCCCTGTTACCCACACTTAAACAGCCCACACTGGGTTATAAAGCATGAACATTGCTAGTGTGGAGGATTCATATGCAAAGATGTCTACCGAATTCGTAAGACATGAAAGGTAAAAATCATCTTCTAGGTTTGCGGGATTGAGGTTGGCAAGGAAATGCTGTTTTGCCACCACAAGGTTTGTTGCTTTCAGTTCCAAACCTGAAACCCGCAAGTGCGCCACAGGTCGACCACTTTCAGCAGCAAATCTTTTCTGAGAGCCCACGGGGGGGGGCCCGTGAAACTCCCGTGACATTCCGTAACGTAAGCTGGGTGATGTCTTGGCCCCAATGATCGACACTCCAAGTGGCCGGAATTCAGGAGCTCCTTCGCCGTATTGTTGCCTGACAGTCAGGAGATTTGACACCTCGTGCACATGTGGTACAAACATCCTCTAAGAACATCTAAGAACAATGACAATATACTCAGCACATCTCAGCACTTATAGCATGACTGGAATCTTGTCAGCCCTTTGACGCAAAAACGATGTATGGAACTCAACAAGTATATATCTCCTGAATATCACGCAAGAAAACAGCAGCCCAAACCAAATGGACGCACCAAGACTTCCTGCAAGGTGGCTGTGACTCGAAGCCATTTTGCACTCACTCAAAAATTCCGTGCTCCAGACGCACAAAAAAGCGCTCTTTGGGTTTGCAAAAAAATACTCAAACGTTGCAAACATGTCTGACCCCCTGTGGTAGCACCTGGAAAACTGGCCGAAGAACAGTGTCCGGAGACGATGGATTTTGCGTCAACGCCGTGGAGCCTGGACGATGCGTAACGACTGGGATTTCGTTCCAAAGCCTTTTTGCATGTTTAATATTCAAGATCAAACGCACAAAGCAAAACATACATCTGCATACAATCTCTAGAATGGGTGGGTCTGGACTGTAGAGTCTGGTAGGGGGGTCAAACTCCACTGGAGATGCAATCTTCACAGCGCATATCAGCGTTGATAAACATGGACTTTCTGTGTATGTCAAAACTGGTTCAAATGCAAAGTTGGGTGTTTGTGCCTTGTGATGAATTTGACTTGTATTTATCAATGTTTTGCATAGCAAGTGGATACTAATGTTCTGTTCTCAGTGCTGATCGCTGCGCGCGCGCCATGCACCTTTGGCCATCAAACTCCGTGGGTGAGTGTGGTTTCCTCAATTGGATCCAATGCAGGACCAAACAACTCGCAAACAAAATACTTACAGTATTTGGTCAGAACATGTTCAGAATCAACTAAGCCTAAGCAACCAATGTTCTAGTTCTATGATCACAAGAAAAATCAACACAGACCCTCTTGAAATGGTTCTTCATCACGCCACCATGTCTGCCGCCTGAGTGTCTCAGAACGGCCGGCATTGGTAAAGGACCCCTACCCACTTGGGGGCGTGTGCCTGCAGGGAGCAAAGTGAGGGAAACTCGGAACATGCGGTTTTGGGAGTGGTCAATCTCGAACAAAACACACAGGAGTAAAAGCAACGGTCTAGAGTTTAGGCCAAAAAAACACCTGGGTTTATGGTCCGACTAGGACCAGGATGTCGTGAGTCCGAAATCAAAACTTATTGAACATGTGTCAAAGCCTCTTGAACATGCTATAGATGCCAGTTGATGTGTGACTACGGTTCGTAGTCACCACTTTAAGAATCTTTAAGATCGTATAGTAGGTAGTAGGTATGCCCAGAAAAGCGTCCCTGCCCGCTTCATTGGGTGGATTGCAAAAGCAAAAGAGTGAGATTGCCCGCTGCTCCTAAAGTGTACCCTTCTTCCGTGGGTGTTCCCACGTACACAAGTATGAGAGAAAGAGAAGACAAAGGCGTAAATGCAAAAGCGTTGGAGAAGAACTGAGGCAACAAGAGGTCTTAGTCCGAGTTCTGTGCTGCCGACCAATGGATGGATCCAGGATTGAACTTTAGGACTGGTTGACAAGTTACCAAGACCCGGACTGACACTGAAGTAATCATTCAGTGGACACAAGTCAGTAGAACGTAGATAGAAAAACAGGAAAGAGGACATTCAGCAAACAAGTCTACTGCACCAAGAACCCAGCATGCGTCCCCATCTCCAACCTCTAAGATGTCAGCTTCTTTGGGTGATCAATATGTTATACATCAGTGGCGCAGCGCGGTCCGCCTTTTTGGACCAGCCTCCCAGCCTGACCCTTCCACAAAAGACACGTCACACGTCACAGGCATCTGGTGATTCAACGGTTTTCCTGAACATGTTTCTCGGACAGTACACTTGTCAGGCGGCAATGAGTTTTCTGCTCCTTCAAGTCAAGGACTGGCGTGGAGCCAAAGGATGGAGCGATCGGACGCGGTCTCCGGAGCGGGGGCTCCTGGCCTTACGAACGGAGCGATAGGACGCTACTAGGTTACTAGGTTACTACCTGGCAAACAAACAGACTCCAAAGCGCCCGACCCGGCCTGGAGATGGATCCCAAGGGAGACCTGGGGATCCTGAGGCCGAGAAGGGGTGTCACAGGCGACAAACAGAGACAGAGACCTTGCGCAACGGAAGTGGGAATTGCCCTGTAGTTTGTTCCGCAAAGAGGCACTGTTGAGGTGGCTTTTGGTCAAGCCCAGGAGCTCGCATCTAGAAATGACTGCTGCCACCTACAACTTAAACAAGTGAAAGGCACGTTGCCTGCTGCAGACAATGTAGACATTGGGCAAATAACAAGTACACTTGTACCACCTATGTTTGTTTCCAGACTCGTAGGGAAACATGTCTTTACATATATATATATAGCTCAACACACATATGGTCTCATATGGTCCTTTTCTCCACTTTACAAAAACGGAACAATCACATGATGTGTCGCTTCAGTTCAGCCTCCACATTGGAATCCCATCTTGTATGCGTCCTTGCTCCTAGTAGCGATGTCCTTTGCTCCTGGTAGCGTCCTTGCTCCTAGTAGTAAGGCCAGGAGCTTCTAGTCGTCCGATCGCTCCGTTCGTAGCGATGCCCTGGTGTATCCCTAGAAAACCTGTTAATCGCCACAACTTGGCACAGCAAATCGCGCGGATTCGGCGAAACCTGCCCAGATGGACAAACCTGCCTAAAACCAGCCCCGGGCGTGGTAATTCCACATGATTGTGATTGCAATTGATTGCATAGTGCAGCCAAAGGTGATTGGAACCACCCAAATCTCTGACTCTGCACCAAGAGTTTGATCTCGAGCTCACAACATGTGTACTGCATGGCCCCACAAAAGTACAAAGCCAACTCCACAACCATTCCTGTCACCGCCAAGGCACGCCAAATTGCAGCTTCGGCGAGGCAAACCCCGAGCCAAATCAAGATGATCGCGCTGTTCGCGATGAGGCACCTGCAGAAAACGCTACTAGGAGCGATCGGACGCTACTAGGGGCTCCTGGCCTTACTACTAGGAGCAAGGGCGCTACTAGGAACAAAGGGCATCGCTACTAGGAGCAAGGACGCATAATCGACATTATCTGATTTGTTTTACTTGCCGGTGTCGAAAACAACAAACATCAGCTATCTCTCAAGTGATCCATATCACTATGGCACATGTCTTGACTGCAAAAAGGCCTCCTTGTTTTAGAGTGCTTTGGCCAAAGCAAAGCTAGAGCCATGTCTTGTACGTCGACTGGTAGTTCCCAAATGGCTGTGTCTTTGGGAAAAAAAAACACCCTTTACAAAATCAAAACTTCAATGGCATAGCCAAATTCATCTGGCTTCTACTCCCGGACAAGCATGGGATAGCCAACATCAGCCAACTGAATTCACAGGGAAAAAGCAACTCGTGAAAACGAATTACAGTAAGACCTCAGGTCCCTGGGCTATGCACCACACTCGAGCTTGAAGAGTCCAAGAAAAAAGGCAATCCCGTCCTCCTTCAGAGAAATACAAATGATTCCCATACCTACAGGCATCCCAAATGGATGGTTGTGAATGGACCGTACTACCTCGGAGTCTGGGACAAGTAATGAAGTACGTCCGCACCTCGTGGGCCATTTTTCTGTTCACTGGGATATATAATGTAATACACAATATATAATATAGAATATACAGATATAGATCGATATATACACATTGTTACCCCATCATATACCGACAACCAAGTTCTTGAAACCTCAGAAACGGTCATTCCACCAAGTCACGTGGTTCGAACGCCATCTCGCAGTTTGGATTGCTTCTTGATGTGTGCCTCCAAAGATAGACTGTGGATGGGAAAAGGATAACAATGTGATCATATGATGGCAATGTGATCTCAGTGATCCCTAGGCCCTACAATCTAAACGATAAGATACGATAAGAGGAGAACTGAAGAGAAACACCAAAGCCCCTTCTAGATCCTCCAAACAACACAACAACTCTACCAGATTCACATTACACACGCCCGGTCCTTCCAAGCAAGCGAAGGACAAACATTGAGCTTTGAGGCCCTTTTGAGGCCCCTTAAAGCTGAGGCCAAACCATTTTGCCGACCATTTTTGGTTGTGACCTGAGACCTCCGGTTGACCATTTTGCCTGGAGAAACTCCGAGATCTCCAAGTCATCCTCCGAGTCGGTCTCGCCTCCGGAGACGCCCAGCGGTCCGAAGGGTCCGAAGGGTCCGAAGGGTCCGTTAGGACGGGTTAGAGCGGTTAGAGCGAAGCGAAGTTGGGAAGGCTTCTTGGTTCTCCCGGACTTGAACTAATGATCTAATATATAATGTAATGATATGATTTCTGCTTCAAGGTGACACTGCCCAAATTTGCGTTGAGGGGATTCTGAAAAGAAGTGAAACCCTTTGGCAAAACATGCATGTGGTGGTTCACCCTCGATTCCAGTGCTCGACTCTACTCCGCAAGTGCTCTGGACGTGCATTAAAGAGACCAAAATGTTTCAGGTCAATGTAGCTAGCAAACTAGCTAGCTGCTTTGAAGTACACCAAACAACTCAGATCCTGTACAAAATAAACCCGAAGTTGGATCATAATTGGGCCACCTTCAACAGGCTTTCTGCGAAACCTCGCCTGAGGAGATGTCCAGGTGCCTGCTTTGCTCGTGTGGGCTTCGACAGCACATGTCTCTGAAGGTCCTTAGCCAAGAGAAACCAGGTCTCACCGAGCAGGACTGGAACTCGTCAGTGACGAAAGAAGTCCCGAAGAAGATGACCAAAAGAAGTAGTAAGGCCAGGAACCCCTAGTAGCTTCTTGCTCCTAGTAGCGATGCCAGGAGCCCCTAGTAGTTTCTTGCTCCTAGTAGCCATGGAAACGACGGTGACCAAAAAGACTGTGACGAAAAACGGAGACGGAAAACGGCACCGGGATCGCCAGCGGACGGTGTGGGGCATGGATCGCCAAGCTCGAGGGAGTTCAGTCGTCGTATTTCCGTGAGGTTCTCACCATGCTGGTATGTTTCGCAGGAAAACAAGTACTAGTTGTGAGTACTATCACTTCCAACAAAAATGTGACTGTGGTGATATCTCAATCATATTATCATATAATTACTGTATACCGTGTGCTCAACAAAGTGCATAAGATATACATAGATATGCAAGAAACGAAGCAATTCCCTGGTTTTCAACATGAACATGGGCCCTGCAGTCAAAGCAATTCCTGGTTACAACAGCAGGGGCGATGTCTCGGCAAACCACGCAAGCAGCATCATCTACACGACGAGTTAGATGGCCTCCAACGTAATAGCCTCCAGCCCGATAGCAATGGCCTCCAACCTGCTAGCGATGGCCTCCAACCTACTAGCAATGCCCTCAAACCTATTAGCTGCCAATCTGATAGCAATGGCCTCCAACCTAATGGGTTCCAACCTGGTAGAAATGGCAGGAAGGGTCCCGAATCGATTCGGAACTGTCCGTTCGGAACCGAAACCTCGCGAATGTCAAGAACCGAAAATTTTCATCAACCGAATCATGAAAACCGTCAATTTTCCAAACACAACCGAACCGGAACAAAATACGAACCGGAATTCCACCCTGCTCCGAGATCAGCAACGTTTTTTCGAGGACTGTCCGGGGTCACAGAAGCATTTGCACATTGGCGTGCCCAAACAACATGTCACTGGCGCGGCCTGGCTTCAGGCGCGGACGGCGCCTGGTGATGAACAAGCCGGCTTTGGAGAAAAGCCGTTCCAAAGCTGCGCTGGAGCCAGGCACCCCAAGAGCTGCTTGCGCAAACTGGGCGAGCTCTGGCATCTGTCCCTGATGCCCGCGCCACCAGGACAAAGGGCCTTCTCCTGTGAAATTCAGGCGCTCATAGTGTGTCATCTCAGCTTCCACTTGCTTGCGAACCTTGCTGTCAGTGAGTCAACTATAAATATGCTCTTTCTTTTCGTTTCAAAAAGCATTTTGGGAAGGTGGTGTCATCAGCGGCTCTCGTTTGAAAATGCTTTTTGGGGACAGTGGAAAACGCATTTGGCCCCGAAATTCGATGAAGGACGACGCGGGAAGAAAAATGCTGAAAGCGCTGCTGCAGGGACTGCCTTCAGGTCATCGAGCACAGCCACCTCAAGGGCACGACCCCGGTCAGGGTGTGGCCCAAACAGCCGGTCTTCAGCACTAGTGCGCTCTTTGAGTGCGCGAGGCCCAGGCTGCAGCCTCACTGCAGGACCTGATGCGGCTGCGCAGGCAGCGTCTCGCAAAATAGCTTCACTGGTAGATTTAGGTTTCTCTTGCCGCCCTGCTCCCCTTCCACGACCTCTTCCTCTTGTCTTCTTTGGCTCCGGGCGCAACAAGGTCTCAAGCTTGTGGATCATAGGATCCTCTGCTGCTTTCTTCAATCTTTCCCGAAGTTCTGGGTACTTTAATCTGCTGGTCCGCCTACGCCGTGCGCCAGGCAACTCCAAAATGCATCTTTTCAGATTGGCAAAAAAGCATTTACGGAACCAAGCGCTCAGAACAAAAGGCATCCCATCATAATCGCCTTTAGGCAGCCATACATGCAGTTGCATCAGACAAAAAAAAAGCACATTCGACCCCCGCCTGACGACACTGGCCACTTTTGCCTGTGCCCTGCACAACCACAGCTGTGCCCTTACGAGGTCTGCCGCGGCCCCGCTCTGCTGCCTCGTGCGGTTGCACTGCTGCAGGGCTGAACAGGAACAGCCCCACGCAAAGCTGCACACGAGCCAAGCGCAGCTGCTCTGGCAACCGGTACGAAGGCACCATGAGGGACATCGCGTCGACAACAAGAAAGTCAAGACCACCTCTGAGCCGTGGGAAGCTGAGGAAAAGACAGCTGTTTCTGAATATGCTTTTTTCCCGGCGGTCTAAAAAGCATATTGGACAGCAAAGCCACGAAAAGGAGTGGAACGGAACGCCATTTTTCAATATGGCTCACTCACCCTAGGGCATTTGATTGAAGGTATTCTCTTTTGCTTTGGTTTGCTATGATATGTCCTGTCATATCATGTCTTGTTTTGTCTTCTCTGGTCTTGTTTGTTCTATCTATGTCTTGTCTTGTCTCATAGGTTAACTTATGCCTTACAGAACCGAAGCGAACCGCGAACCGGACCGAAAATGCACAAAAAAAAGCTTCTTCAACCCAACCGAACCGATTCGAAGTTTCCATTAAACATTCAAACCGATTCCAACCGAACCGAAACCTTACTGAAATGGCCTCCAACTACTAGCAGCTACTAGCGATGGCCTCCAACCTATTAGCTTCCAATCTGATAGCAATGACCTCAAACCCACAAGCGATGGCCTCCAACCTAATAGCTTCCAGCCTGATAGCAATGCCCTCCAACCTACTAGCGATGGCCTCCAACCTATTGGCTTCCAACCTGATAGCAATGGCCTCCAACCTCCTAGTGATGGCCTC